GATTTAACAGGTTTATGTCAAATTCTCTTCACTATAGATTCGAAATATACATTGAACTGAGTCCTACGATGCAGGGGGGTAGATATATGCGCTCAAATCCACAGAAATAGTAGAGACACAGCATTACGGCAGACTAAGCTTACGTTTCAGTCACGCGTGACATGTGCTGAGGTAATGTCTGGGAAATTAATATAGACGCGGACGGACATCTACGGACAACTGCGGACGCGGACAAACTTACAGTCCGGTGATATTCTTGCATGGACCCGACCTCCGCACTCCCAACTGTATTCGACTCTTCCACTTGCATCCGAAAGGGCCTATGTCCGGTAACGAACTTTGTGGTCAAGATTCGCATAGGCAATGCCTAACAAAAGTGTGTGATGGACGCTAACGTGATACTGGCTGCACGGGGATGTTTCTCTTTCTACAGCTGCCACTACCTCAAATAATATTTAAAGGAATATTCTAAAAATCATCAATTATGTACCTAAATCATGCCCTCTAAAAATTTATTTATTTATACAGCTGAACTGAAACACTGTGCCTGCTCCTCCTCATGCTCATCTTATCCCATCATTCTTGGATCATTCTCAGCCCATATTCGGTAATAATTTCCTCCCTATAATTCATCTGATTTAAAGTGATATTTTGAACCCTTCGGTCGACATTCTCTTTGTTTGACATTGGTTTGACGCGGTGCTGAGCCATTTGATGAGTTAAGGTTCTGCATGTGAGGTTTTTGAGCTTCAGTATGTCTTTTTTTGCAAGCCTTGAATGGATTCTTCGAACTGAACATCATTTGACGTGTTGGGAGGCCTTTTGGATGAAGAGGGGTGCTGCTTTCGATGTGTCGAGCCCAAGTCGCGTTGCCTAGTTAGATTATGTAAGAGGAGCGCCTATGCCCCCCTACAGCTCCGGAGCTAGTTGAGAAGCTGCGGCATTCTAGCATCCAAAATGACGCTGGGACCTTTGAGAACAGAGATATCTTGAAAAATTCTTTGTGTTCCCGTAACATCATAGCCAGTCCCTGACAAGGGATTTCATATACCCCATTCAGCAACCACTAATTACATGTAATATTCACAAAATTCATTATTTAATTATATTTCTGTGAATTATCTATATTTTAGTTGGGTCATATTACATGAGTTATTTATTCTCAACTGGCTTGGACACGTCGTTTCCCCGCCACAAGGTTGTGGGAACTCAAGTGTCGGAGTTTCAAAATGGCTTGGATTGCCTACCGCCAACAGTACAGAGCCCGCACACAACCATGCCCATTCAAGACCGTACAACCGAGTTCCACGCATGCGTTGACTCCATACGGAATCGCTCAAGCCATGTAGGAAGAGGAGGGTCCGTTAAACAGCCGTTATTGGGCGGAAAGGGGAGGCAGCGAGAGGGGAGTTCGCGGAGCGAGTTCTCGAGAATGGCAGCAGGGATAGGGAAGGATATTTCAAAGACGACGACTAATCTGCAGAAACTGGCTCAGTGTGAGTCCTTTGTGTGCTATTTGACATATAAATTGACAGGCTTTAGTGGCCAAAAGGAAAACATTATTCGATGATCGACCTATGGAGATTAGTGTACGAGTCTCAAGTTTACTACTAGATTATTCTTGCTAACACTTTGCGTAGGAACTCACCCACTGGATCAAACAAGATATTGCCAAAATCAACAAAGATATCGCTTCCTTACAGGGATATGTCCGAGCGCAACAGCAGGGACACCAAAATGGGAATAAGCAAGTAGATGAGCATGAGAGTAATATCGTTGTGATGTTACAGAATCAGTTGGCGAGTACGAGTATTGGGTTTAAGGAGGTGTTAGAGGTCAGGACGCAGGTGCGATACTTCTCCAGACATGGCTTTGAAGAAATAATGCTAACGCGTCTGATAGAATATGAAAGAGACAAAAGATAGAACAGAGCAGTTCATGTATTCCACTGCACAGGCGGCACAACAGGCTCCGTCCAGTACGCGTTTTCTCTCATTTTCTTCCCTTGACATGTTTGCTCACCAGATCATAGACTCTCTGCTGTTCAATCAATCGCGAGACAACAAAGGCAAAGGCCGGGCAGTACAAGATGAGGATGTTCTGGCATTAGACATAGTTGGCGCAGAAGAGGGTCGTGGAGGTAACGACTCTTACATGCAAATGCAACTTGTAGAACAACAAGTACGTCTTATACTTTGGACTATTTTTATACTCGACGACTAATCCTCTTATCTAAAGGACAATTACATCCAAAGTCGCTCGACCGCCATTGAGTCTATCGAATCGACCATTGCGGAACTCGGATCAATTTTCAGTCAACTGGCTACGATGGTAGCAGAACAACGAGAGACTGTTCAGCGAATTGATGCCGACACGATGGATATCGCGGAGAATGTGAGTGGAGCACAGAGGGAATTATTAAAGTATTGGCAGCGGGTATCGAGTAATAGGACGTTGATGTTGCAAGTGTTTGGGGTGTTGATTTTATTCGTACGTGATTTCATAATCCTCTTTTATTCAATATTACTGAGAAGATATCCTTTGCAGTTCCTCGTGTTTATTTTAGTGTCATAGTTCTGATTCGACATATACCACCTTCATATGGACTAGGCGATGCTGCGCACAGTCATCCATTGTAAATAGTTGAGGTATGTTGAGGCATGCATGCGTATTGATCGTGAGCCTATTTGAGTTAGACTAGGTTACTTATATTTGTGGACTTTCTATTCATTTTAATTTGTTTTTGTCTCTTGCATATACCATAGTTATGAGCGATTGTTATATTTAAGTAATGCCAAAACGGACCTTCTACTCGAACGTAGGCCCTGAGAAGTGGTATGAACGTGAAGTTGGAAAACTTCCCGACATGGAAGCATCGCATCAAATGTGGGGCCTGGAAAGCGGCCCATTACTTTGGTACGTTCGACCCATTCACCAGCCGTAGAGCAGGAAAAACGGTCTATCCGTTTAAGCGTAAGCCACCAATTCTGGCACGCAGCTGATATTGCTCGTTTAAAGGCCCACTTTCATCTTAACTCGAAGCTTTACTCTTATCTATTGCATTTCCTAAACCATGTCAACTGTGATACCAAAGAGACCAGAAAAAAAGAGCACGGAATGAGATGCTCTGCAGAATAAGAATGCGGCCTTAGATCGCGAACACGTCAATTCATTCCTCACCCATCGGTTTTATGGGGTAGTGGTTAGCCCATGAGATTCTGAGTACTAAAGTGTTCAATATTCTCGTGACCCCGGTTCGAATCCGGGTAAGACCTCCTTTTTGGCTGATTTCGAGCATATTCTACCGGTGGTATGCACCAGACTCGTCAGGAGACTTCGGATTTTAGTAAAACTGATGGCGGAGTCTTCTTTCTAAATTCTAACTCTCTATATTCGTTCACATGACCGTTCCAGGGTGAGATTAGCCTGGAGAATCGGCCTGTAAAGGGTGTCTGCAAGTCAAGTTCTAACTTCGTACTGGTTGTATTCTCAAACTATTTACTACGTCTGAAGTGGTGGGGATTTTTCGATTTTTCGGCGCTGAGAGGTTCTGGCTGGGTCCTGATCTGAATTCGCAAACTCGTCATGAACTATATACTTATGAGGCGAACGGTACCGGAAAGAAGAACTTAAAAGTGTTCTCCTTCCCTTCGGATTAACGATTCGGAGTCCGAAAAGGCATTCTAATTTGACTATCTAGCGTGCCACTGTGGGCGACAGGAGGGAAGGGGAAGAAACTGTGGATAAAGCGCTCCCCTTCTAGTCCCCAGTACGCGTCAGTGGCCATGATAAGAGTAAAGCATTGTGTCTCAGTAACAGTCAACTTGCGCGCACGTGTGAGAATGCGCTTTCCTCTAATAAAGTAAAACTAGCCAGTCTACTCACCGAACGTTGTGAGCGTGAGGAGGGGAGAGATACTGGCGGGGCGGGGACGGATGAAGAGAAAAAAGCGTTTTCTAAATAATAACAGAGTCTCTATCGATGACACAAGGAGCTGCAACGAGGCATAGAAAATAAAAAAAGGAAATATGTAATCGAAATGTGCAGCGGTTTCGACGCTTGGTGTCGCGGTAAAATAGATTTCCCGGTGGCCACTCAATGCTACGTATTCAAATTCCTCAGCGCACTTCGAGCCCTGAGATTCAGGATATACGTCTAACAATCTTAATCTCAGGACGAAAAAGGTGACAATATGTCCTATCTACCTGTCTACCTACAAGGCGAGTCATGAGTGAACACAGCCTGTTGCTCTCCAAAAATAAAATGACATATCAAGCTCATTTCAAAAATCGGCACGGCACACCGCAGTAAAATTAATGGTCACGCCCGGATTTGAACCGGGAAGATGATTTCTTCCTTAAGAAGCGCGAAAGCAACTAATGTCCGTTACACTACGCGACCTTGGTACTTGTAATAGGGGACGGCCATTAGGTACATCCTTAAACGCTCCCTGAGTGCCAAGGATTGTAGATACGGATAATAAGAGTCTAGCGTGATAATACTTGCATCGTATAAAAACCGCGCATTGTAATTTCTTAACTTAAATTTTCTACGAAAATGCCTATTTTTCCCTTTGCGCTGGACCCGGCGATCTTTCCAGTCAAATAGAGCTTGCGTGTATAAGCTTAATAAGTGTAGGTTGCATGTGTACTCTTTGCTAGGGAGTAAGTGCCCGTCGCTCGTCGCTCGACACTGAGACGAATCCGTCTGGGCGGGACGTGTGATCTGGAGACTGGCGGTATATTTCGTAACTGTAAGTAAACCCACAAGTGCAGTATCACTCAATCTATAGATTCTGATTTATGATTCCGCTTGCCTGGTTAAAGTGGAGCAAGTACACGACTTTCTAAGGGCGAGAACGAGAGCTGCTGTCTCATAGACATTCTGCGACATCTGCCTCAAAGTTCGAACCAAATTAGGTAGCCTCTGACTCACTTAAACCCCTCAAAAGTGAGGACTGCAGGTTTTATATTGAATTTCAGGATAAGTAGAGCGAGTTTTCAACAGTACTAGTGTTGTAGTCGGAATTATCGTGTGCACATTGGGTAAATTACCTACAGTAGTACATGCATACCTACTGCTAGTGTTGCCGCGGTCCCAGACCGTTACGTTTTCACACGTCGCTTACAAGCGAAGGAGCAATCACTCTTCCCTGAAATTTCATTTTGGAGATCTACAACCTTTCTATTTTGATTTTATATACTCCTTTTTCAGCCAAAAAATCTAGGATCCATTTGGTCCCGGTTCGGTCCCCGGGACTGTGACCGAACTGCGGCAACACTACCTACTGCTATACTATGGTGGTGGGCTCCTGCGTGGAAGAGCTCTTTAATCTTAAATATAGGTTTTGGATGGAATTTCAACACAAGAAGGAACCTTGGACGCCGGATAAATCGATGAACGCGAAACCAATAATTACACGCCTACGACGTAACAACTTCCTAAGTGCTAGTGAAACGATGACCTGAGGCAGGATCGCACGGCGGTGAACCTGCATATACTAGCTTTGAATATCAAAATCTATATATGTTAAAAATAATATGAAACCCTTTCGGATTCGCTGTCCTGTCTTCAAAGAAGAAGGAAGCAAAAACGTGCCATCACCTGAGCTGCCGACCCAATCAGCTCCCGCGCTGTCACGTCAACGTCACGTCACGTACCCGTCGTAGTCGTACCAGCCAGCCAGAGTTCCCCGCTATCTTCTTCCTCATCGCCTCTCTCGTACGTCCCTCACACTTTTCATATATATATGACGGCTCATCTTAATCTTACACCCTCCTCACAGATCATAATCCCTACCTCACAGATCCTATAATCAATAAGCAAAGATGCCCAACACAGTCCTCGTCACCGGTGGTTCAGGCCTCGTAGGGAAGGCGATCGAGCATATCATCAATACGGAGGCGGAGGGGTCGAGGTTTGGGAAGCTGCCTGGGGAGAAGTGGATTTTTGCGAGGAGCGCGGATGGGGATTTGAGGTGAGCGGCGCGGGCCATTTCCATTTTATACAAGATGTATGGAATGCTGATTTCGCGATAGGGACGTGGAACAGACGAAGAAGATGTATGAAAAGTATAAGCCTACGCATGTTATTCATTTGGCGGCGCTGGGTGAGTGCTTTGTTTGCTTACTCAGTTTGGAGAAGTTAATTTTATTTCGTGTAGTCGGTGGGTTGTTCAAGAATATGAAATACAAGGTACATACTCTCTTCATTCCGAAATCCCTCACCCTCACGCCGCGTCCAGCTCACCTTCCTCCGCGACAACCTCGCGATCAACTCGAACGTCCTCGAGATTTCGCACCAGAACAAGGTGGAGAAAGTCATCTCGTGTCTCTCCACGTGTGTCTTCCCGGACAAGGTGGAATACCCGTTAGACGAGAACAAGATCCACATTGGCGAGCCGCACGACAGCAACTTTGGGTATGCGTATGCGAAGAGGATGGTTGATGTGCAGGACAGGTGAGCGGGCTGACTTGCCGTGTGTGGATGAGGCTAACTCGTGTGCAGGGCTTATAAGGAGGAGTTCGGCGACAACTTTACGAGTGCGATCCCGACCAATGTGTTTGGACCACATGATAATTTGTGAGTAGTATGAAAATGCGTATATAGCTTAGGCTGATTCCTCGTAGCCAATTGGAAGATGCGCATGTTATACCCGCGTTGATCCACAAGTGCTACCTCGCAAAGCGTACGTGCAGCCCCTTAATTTACTTAAAACTCCCGCTCACACCACGCGTGCAGAGAACAAAACCCCCTTCGTGGTGGCGGGGTCCGGGAAGCCGCTCCGGCAATTCATCTACTCGTATGACTTGGCGAAGCTGTTCATCTGGATGTTGCGGTCGTATGACGACGTGACGCCGCTGATCCTGTCGGTGGGAGAGGACGAGGAGGTGTCGATCAAGCAGGTGGCGGACGCGATTGTGAAGGCGGTCGGGTTCAAGGGCGAGTATACATTTGACACGACGCGGGCGGACGGGCAGTTCAGGAAGCCGGCATCGAATGGGAAACTGATGGGATTGGTCGGGGACTTTAAGTTTACGCCGTTTGAGGATGCGCTGGACAACACGGTGGCATGGTTCGTGGCGAATTATGAGAACGCGCGGAAGTAGATACGAATAGAATTATTTTATCTTATTTTCCGAAACCGGCATGGGGTTGACGCGGGAGACCGAATGCCGGGAGAATCGATACTGACAAATTGAGCATCCAACCACGTGGCGCCTCTTTTTTCTGTCGTCCACCATGGTCTCTGCCCTTTGGAAAGCCTGCGCCGACGGCGACGCTGCGAAAGTCGACGAGTATCTTGCCGATGCTACCAGTGTCGACATTGAGATCAAAGGTGAGCGAGCCCCATTTGTGCTGCATCCCCCGCTGACATTCGCAGACCATACCGGCGGGACTCCCCTCATCCAGGCGATCAAGGGCGGGCATCTGCTCATCGTCAAGGCTCTCCTCGCAAAGGGCGCAGACCCCAACAACGCCTCCTCCCAAGGCAGGCCGGAGACCTACACCACCGACCCCGAGATCCTCCACGAGCTCGCGACTGCCCGTGGCGACCTCCAT